AGTCTGTGACCACCATGATAGCATTAGGAAAAGGGAGGACACCAACTTTGCACATTAGGTATAGACTACAGATGCTAATACCTACCAGTACATCCACAATACTGCATTACCATTAACACCAAACACCAGGCTACAGATAAACACATAAACATCTGAGAAGATCAGATGGAGGTCAGTGAACAGGATTATACTCTAGACCAAGCACAGATTCAGCAGAGGCTAATCTTGCATAGATCCAGTGATACAAAATACCCACAATCCTTACAGAAACAATAGAAGACAGACATAGAGTAATCCCTCACAGACAGCCAGACACTGTGGGAGAAAGATCCAACTGATCTACCAACTCAGGACCATAGTATTGGGGGACACCAGACTCAATTGGCACAACAAAATAACATTAAAGTCTTGTTCCTCATCCTACATTGGTGAGTAGCGACTGGGGTCTTAAAAGCTTTCAAATGACCATCTAAGATGTAGCTAATGTCTCCTACTGTTGGAAGCGAAGAAGAGTGAAAAAAAAAAAAAAAGGCATTGGGAAGCAATCAGCCCCAGGACACGATGGCCCTTGAGACCAGAAGAACTAGCTGGTGCCCGGCTACCAATGCCAACCACTCAGGAAAGGATAAAATCTGCAGATCCTGGATAGAGTGGGAGGAAGAACATGGAACAAAATCCAAAATCTCAAAAATGACCACAATTACTGGTCGGATGGAGTCTGGTGAGACCCCCAATACTATGGCCCTGGGATACATTCTGGGCCTAGAATAAAACTTATTCCCAGGGGCTGGCTCTCAGCCCAATAGTAAACAAGATGTACACCCAGACCACTCAACCCAGGGTGATGTACCCACATACTCTATGGAAATGTATCTCTTGGAGCAATTGACCATGGGGCACCAGAGGGGCAGCATTCACATGGAGGAAATGCAGGACACACAGGAGTGCGTAACTATGAGGGGCATGGGGGAGAGGGTTACTGGGCAGGGAGGGGAGGAGACTGGGTTATGGTTGGGATGGTAAATGGGGAGTGAAACTAAATGTACACATAATGTTGAATGTAAAACAAACTGCTCTGTAAACTTGCACCTAAAGCACAATTTAAAAAAGAAGAAGAACAAGGCCAGGGGCTCATTGTGAAACAGACCACAGTTGCTCATATGCAAGTTCAAATTGAAGCTGAAGAAAATTAAAACAAGTCCACGAGAGCCAAAGGATGATCTTGAATATATCCCTCCTGAATTTAGAGATCATCTAAAGAATAGATTTGACATATTGAATACTAATGACCAAAGAACAAACTAATGACCAAAGAACAGGTGATGACATCAAGAACATCATACAAGAAAAGATCAAATTGATGTCAGAAGAGCCTCTGAAACTTGCTCTTGAACATAGGGTAGCTAAAGCAAAAGGAAGAAATGATGACATAAAAGAGCTGAACAGAAGATTTCAAAGGGCAGCTTGAGAAGACAAAGTAAAGTATTATAAAAGTGTGCAAAGACCTGGAGTTGGAAAACGAAAAGAGAAGAACGTGCTTGGCATTTCTCAAGCTGAAAGAACTGAAGAAAAAAATTAAGCCTCAAGTTATAATACTGAAGGTTTCTATGGGGAAAATACTGAACAATGCAAGAAGCATCAAAAGAAGATGAAAAGAATACAGAGAGTCAGTGTACCAAAAAGAATTGGTCGGTGTTCAGCCATTTCAGGAGGCAGGGTATGATCAAGAACTAATGGTATCGAAAGAAGAAGTCCAAGCTGCATTGAAGGTAATAGTGAAAAACCAGGCTCTAGGAATTGATAGACTACCAATTGAGATATTTCAACAAACATATGCAGTGCTGAAAGTGCTCACTCATGTATTTCAAGAAATTTGAAAGACAGCTATCTGGCCAACCAACTGGAAGAGATCCATATTTTTACCCATTCCAAAGAAAGGTGATCCAACAGAATGCAGAAATTATCTAACAATATCATTAGTATCACACACAAGTAGAATTTTGCTGAAGATAATTCAAAAGTGGTTGCAGCAGTATATCAACAGGGAACTGCCAGAAGTTCAAGAGGATATGATAGGAGGGATATCATTGCTGATGTCAGATGGATTTTGCCTGAACGCAGAGAATACCAGAAAATGTTTACCTGTGTTTTATTGAGTATGCAAAAGCATCTGACTGGGTGCATCATAACAAATTATGAATAACATTACAAAGAATGGGAATTCCAGAATACTTAATTGTGCTCATGAGAAAGACCAAGAGGCAGTCATTCAGACAGAACAAGGGGATGCTGCATGGTTTAAAATCAGTAAAGGGGTATGTCAGAGTTGAATACATTTACCATATTTATTCAGTCTTTCTGCTGAGCATGTAACCCAAGAAACTACACTATATGAAGAACAACACAGAACAGAATTGGAAGAAAGCTCATTAACATGCAGATGACATAACTTTGCTTGCTAAAGTGAAGAGGACTTGAAGCATTTACTGATGAAAATCAAAGACTACCATCTTCAGGATGGATTACATCTCAACATAAAGAAAACAAAAACCATCACAATTGGATCTAGTAATAAGCGCTTTCATAATAAATGGGGAAAATACTGAAATTGTCAAGGATCTCATTATATTTGGCTCCACAATCAACCCCAGGAAAGCAGCAATCAAGAAATCAAATGATGTATTGCGTTGAGCGAATCTGCAAAGGCCCTCTTTAAAGTGTTAAAAAGCCAAGATATTACTTTAAGGACTAAGGTGCACTTGACTCAGGCCATGGTATTTTAATTCACTTCATATGAATTGGAAACCTGGACAGTGAAAAAGGAAGATCGAAGAAGAATTGATTCATTTGAATCATGGTGTTGGCAAAGAATATTAAATATACCATGGACTGCCAGAAGAACAAACAAATCTGTCTTGGAAGAAGTACAGGTAGAATGTTCCTTGGAAGCAAGGATGGTGAGATTTCATCTGACATACTTTGGATATGTTATAAGGAGGGACCCATCCCTGAAGAAGGACATCATTCTTGGTAAAGTGCAGGGTCACCAAAAAAGAGGAAGATGCTTAACGAGATGGATTGACACAGTAGCTTCAACAGTGGGCTCAAAACATAGCAACAATTGTGAGGATGGCACAGGACCACGTAGTGTTTCATTCTGTTGTACATATGGAACTGACTCCATAGCACTTAGGAACAACATCAACAATCTTTAAAGAAGCTGAGTGCCACATCTTTCTCCTGCTTCCCCCCTCTACTTCACAATAAAAATTACTGTTTTTTTTTTCTCTTAAAAACAATTTTACGTAAAAATTATTGTAAAGATTTTGACAGTGTAAACTTTTATAAGGAAAAAGTAAAAATATTATTTTTGAGGATCATTATTTTATACCTGCATAACACACATTTACGTGCTTTTTACCCTAAATTATGTGCTACTATGCTGCTTACCCTCTCAACTGCCATTGAGTTGATTCTGACTCATTGCGACTCTGTAGAACTACCCAATAGTGTTTCCAAGGGTGTAAATCTTTAAGGAAGCAAACTGCCTCATTTTTCTCCTGCCATGGTATTTTATTTGTTTGTTCTTCTGGCAGTCCATGGACCTTTTGATTAGCAGCCAATGCTTTAAACACTGCCACACTAGAGCCCTAGTTTTTCATTTAACAAAACAACAAAGACTACTCTACCTATTAATCAAAATCCTCATCATCATTTTAATGGTTGTGGCATGTTCCATTATATACATATATCATGAACCAATTCCCTATGAGAAACCTTTAAGTTGTTTTCAAATTTTTACCCCATATTCAACATAAGAATGAGTATCCTTGTGTGTGTGATGACCACTCAAGTGTGTATTCCTGTAAATGGAATTACTGGCTCAAAATGTATGCACATTTCAACTTCTGGTATGTAGTACCAACACTGGCTTTGAAAGATGGTATTAAAATACACTGCCATATAGTGTATGAGAATCCCTTCTTTCCTAGATCTACACTACCTCTGGATATTATATATCTTTTTAATATTTTATATATTAGTAATACCTTAGCATTGTTTTGATTTTCATTTCTTTGATCAAAATTTAACATTTAAATTTTTATTAGATATTATTTAAATATTAAAATATAAAATTTGTATTTCTTCCTGTGTAATTTATTTGTATATATCCTTTTTCCATTTTTCTGGAAGCCAAGTATCTTTTTATTACTGACTTTCAAAACCTCTCCAAGATATTTTTTATAGTAATAACTTGTATTTCTTGATTAAGATAGAGTACTAATCCAGCATCTACCTAGAAGTATGTATTCTCAAAACAATTACCGATTTTGTCTGGGTATAAATTACTCTAGTGACCAATGACACTGATTTATTAACATTTGGGCTGAAGCACATATAGCATCTCAACATCTGAAAACCTTAGGTGGTGGTGGTGTTGTTATGTGCCATCAAGTCGGCCCCGACTCATAGTGACCCCTCCTTGGGTTTCCGAGGCAGTATCACTACGGAAGTAGGTAGCGTGGAAATTGCGCGTTGAAGAGATGTCGGCCATCCAGACCCAAGCATCAGTTCTGGCTAAGGCTGCCTTTGCCACAGTGTGCCCCATTCCTGGCTCCATAGGCCCTCATGATCTGTACCAGTGCCCTATTTTCCTCCTCTTGGCATATACCTTCTTTCTGCTTTATAATGCTAATGAGATTGTTCTGGATCAATCATATTAGAGAAATGATAAGCAGCAGATACAAGAAAATTCACAGAATGACAATGTTTGAAATAAAAATTTTTGTGGCCTTTGCCCAAGAGTAGATTTCATGGTCTATAAACTGTAACGTGTGCAGTTGGGGAGAAAAATGTTTTAATATAAACCCTATGAAAATAATAGGGGGAGTATAGAAGTCTTAAAGAGGTGATGTGGGATAAAAATTGTGTATTTAATTTGGGATTGCAGAAAATAGGTTCACTTTGGCCTTAACATTCTTCATTGTTCTTATAAACAGTTTCATTCACTGGCTCCCATGTACTATCGAGGGTCTGCTGCAGCTGTCATTGTATATGATATTACCAAACAGGTAAGAGTGCCATTTTAGAGTTAAGATGCCATTTATGGTGTTTCTATGTTAGAAGGAACCAAAGGTGTGTTGAGTCTTGCCAGTAGCCTGAAATGAGATCTCATAGGACAGAGATCAGGGATACCAAAAACAAACCAAACTCACTGCTGTTGAGGCGAGTCTGACTCATGGCGACCCCTCCTTGGGTTTCCGAGGCACTATCACTACAGAAGTAGATTGCCCAGTCTTCCTTCTGAGGAGTGGCTGGTGGGTTTGAACCACCAGCCTTCTGGTTAGCAGTCAAGTGCCTTAGACACTATGTTACCAGAGCTCCTGTGATCAGGGATAGTGGCCACTATATAATATATTGTTCTTATTTCACCTATTTGTAATGAACCATCTCAGAATTATATGCAAAAGTAAGTAACAATGACCATTTATTTTTAAAATTGACTATTTGTAGAGGCAAGGGCATGTCTTGTTAGTGCTATTTTCAAGAATGTGAACTTTTTAAGAAAAAATCATTTTTAAGTTCTGCATGCTTTATAATGATGAAGTATTTTTCATTAGTATTTCAATCATTCTACTTAAAATGTATATAGATAAATATGTGTGTGTTTGTGTATACATTATGTAAATCTATTTTATGTTATCATATTGAGGCTCTAGCATATCCATTGACAAAAACTGGAGTGACTTGCTGACATTTGTTTTCCCTCCCATGCATATTAAATTAACTTTTTACTTGGGAGTGCTGACTTAGTGCATGAGACCATTAGTTTAATGACTTATTGCTATTAACATTCATGAATTCCTGACCACCTCTACCTGAATGTGATGTATACTTTGGCTCATTTCTTGGAGGAAGGTTGTGAGTAAAGGGCAGAAAGGAAAATAGGACTCAAGTGTGTATATGTGTATGTATTTTTTTCTTTCCTGAAAACAGGAACATCTTTATACCTGTTGAGTCAAGGCTATAATTTTTAATTATTGTTATTTACAGAAAAGAACTACTAATATGATTATCTTAACTTCCTCAAGTTTTAATTTTAGAAACAAAACAAAAAAACAAACCCAAACTCACTGCCATCGAGTTGATTCTGACTCATAGCCAGCCCCATTAGGTTTCTAAGGCTGTAAATCTTCATGGAAGCAGATTGCCTAATCTTTCTTCCATGGAGCAGCTGGTGAGTGCAAACCACTGACCTTTTGGTTAGCAGCTGAAAGCCTTAATGACTACACCACCAGAGCTCCTAATTTTATTTATTTATTTATTTTAAAATTTTTATTTTTATGGGGATTTGGGTGAAAATTTACAGAGCAAATACACTTTCCATACAGCAGATCACATACATTTTGTATCATGACATTGACCACTATTTAGCACAATGCAACATCTCCTCTCCCACTTCCTCCCGATAGGTACCACTCCTTAATTTTAGAAAGGAACCTTTTATAGGTTATTTAAGTATGCTTTAGGAGCCCTGGTAGAGTAGTGGTTAAACATTCAGCTGCTAACAGAAAGGTTGTCAGTTCAAACCCACCAGCCATTCTATAGGAGAAAGATGTGGCAGTCTGCTTCTATAAAGTTTTATAGTCTGGGAAACCACATAGGGTAGTCCCACTCTGCAGGGTCATCGTGAGTCAGAATTGACTCTATGGCAACATGTGGTGAAATATGACTTACCAAAGGTTAAATTTTGTGCCGAGATAGTATGTTAATCTAAATGAATCTCCTGAAAATCTTATTTCTCCGCTAAATTGTATTGATTGTGTGTTTCTTCTTGGTTGAAATATTGCACTGACTGGTATTTCCAATAATTTGTTTACACTTTTAATTTAGGATTCATTTCATACCTTGAAGAAATGGGTTAAGAACTGAAAGAACATGGTCCAGAAAACATTGTAATGGCTATTGCTGGAAACAAATGTGATCTCTCAGATATTAGGTAAGATACACTTAAAAATTTTTCATGTGTTAGCTGTCTTCCATCCTTGAAGTCTGTGTATAAAAAGATATTATACCTGTGGTGTTAGGTCTGCTTTCATTGTAGTGATTTAACAGATAACTATTTGCTTGTGCTAGTCACCAGAGCATTTATTTAACTTAAGTAAAATTAAGAGAACATGATAGAGAAATGCAAATTTCCTATCCATAAATTAATGAATATTAAAATCAAATCATAACAGGGTTATGAGCTAGATTGCTTTATTCCTTTTATTATATTTTCTGTAATTATTATATTACTACTACCATTTTAATAACACTCATATGGTAAGATGTTTTATAATTCTTAACATTTTCCATTAGATCCCTGTTTGTTTTAGTTCTAGACTTTAGCTAGACCTTTAGAACTTTAGTCAAGTATCTATAATCTCATTTTGTCTTAAGATCTGAATCTTAGAGCAATGATCCATTGTAGATGAACACTTTGACTTCCCCAGAGAATGGATCACTGAACTTCTTTTGTCTGGAGAAAGGTTTGTAGGATCCAGTCCAGATGGATTAAACATTTGATGATAGCTTTATCTAGCCTGATAAACTAGTTCTTTTATTAAATAAATGTTGTGAAAAAAGGAAATAGTGATTTTGTGTTATCTCTATCCTCCTTGTAAATTTATTCTCAGAGATTCCAGTAGTTGATTTTTATAAAGACATCTTCATCATGCTTTGGGTTTTGCTAATCCAAATATGATTAAACCACAGTTAAATAAAGAATGAAGATGGATCTTATAAAAATTCTTAACATGGCATTTGACAAATTGCTCTGTTTCTTTGGGACTTCAAAAGCTTTATGTCAAATTGCATTATGTTGGTTTATAATAACAGCCATATACACCACATATCATTTGTGTTTCTGGGGGCTGGATAAATCTTTAAACACTCCAGACTTAATTCAGATACCTACTTTCCTTACTGTAATCCTAAAACAGCTTGCTTGTCCATTATTCCTAGCACAATCACTTTAACTTTTGTTATTAGAGGATGTGGGGTGGTAGGTAGCTTGTGTTTGCTGAGAGAAGGCAGTATCATCTAACACTATCTAATTGCAATAAAGGTGCAACTTCAAGTGGAACTAAGCCTTGTGTACTATGGGAGTGTTGATGTGCTAGAATTTAAACAGAAAATGATTTCAACTAAATGGTGCTAATTAGGACTGTTAGTTACATGGAACTGAAACCAGTTGCAATTAATTTCAGCCAAAAAAGGGAATTAATTGGAAGGATACTGGTATCCACATGGCGTAAAATAAGACTACCATTAGTTTTAGGATATGATATGTTTGGGAGAGAGATTGACCTGCATGGAGGATTTCTCCACCCTGTAACCAGGTACCTATGGCTAGAAGTGAGATGGATAAATTATATTAGTTGGGGCATTTTGCAAACTTTACATGCATGAATAAGCTGGGTACAGTTGATTAGAATGTCTGCTGATGAGAATGCAGCATCATTCAGTTCTGAAACTGACCTCACTCTTGTGGCTCAAGTTTTATCCAAACAGTGGGTCTATAAGGTGAACAATAACACTAGGGAAGTATGTACTCCTTAGAACAATCAACCATTCGAGATCAAATGGGTAGCATTTGCTGAGGGACAAAATCTCGAAGGCAGGAGAGGATCAGAAGGAAGGAGGAATGGAAAAGGAAAACACAGGGAGGAAGTGGGATGAGTGATGTTACATTGTGAGGATTGCAATCAATGGCATGAAACAAAATGTGTATGAATTGTTAAATGGAAATCTGATTTGCTCTGTAAACTTTCACCCAAATCACAATAAATAAAAATAAAATAAATAAATAAATATATAGAAAAATGATGACTGCATCCTGTCAAAGGTGGAACATTTACGAGACCTAGAAAAACAAGCTCTGGTAGCATAGTGGCTAAAGCACTTGACTGCTAACCAGAAGGCTGGCAGTTCAAACCCACCAGCCACTCCTCGGAAGGAAGATGGGGCAATCTGCTTCTGCAGTGATACTGCCTCGGAAACCCAAGGAGGGGTGGCTATGAGTCAGGTCTGACTCGATGGTACATAACAACAACAGAAAAACAAGGCAGTCCCATCAAGCTCTCACAAGTTTGACTGTATTTTATTGAGATATACTTGGAAAACCATAAAAATCACCCATTTTAAGTATATAGGTCAGTGAATTTTAGTATATTTAGAGTTGTACAATCATTACCACATCTAATTTTAGAACATTTTGACCCTATGAAATATCTCATACACATTTACTGTCTTCCCCCCAGCCCCAGACGTCCACCAGTCTACTTTTTGTCTCTATACATTTCCCTTTTCCAGAAATTTTGTACAAATGGAATCATACAATATGTGATCTTTTATGACTGGCTTTTTCACTTAGCATAATATTTTTGAGGTTTATCCATGTTATAGCATGAATTAGTACTTCATTTCTTTTTATTGACAAATACTATTCCATTGTTTGGATATGTCACATTTTGTTTATCCATTTGTCTGTTGATGGACATTTGGATTGTTTATATTTTTTGGCTATTATGAAAAATTCTGCTATAGACATTCATGTAGAAATTTTGTGGCAACATTTTTTTTAAGTTTTATTGTGATTTGGGTGAAAGTTTCACAGTACAGTACAACAGCTCTCTTCCCACTTTCTCCCCATAGTTACCTGTTTCCTGTGTCCTTCCCTCCCATGCACTTCTCCCCCTGAGCTGTCTCCCTGTGCATACACAACCCTTTATTCTCCAATGATTGATCTCTCCAAGGAGTGTATCAACCTAATGTAAATGTTCAGCTCAAATGCCTGTATTTTGTTTGGCTGGGAGCCACAGGAGTGGGTTCAATTCCAGACCTGAAGAGTAGTGAGGGGCTATAGTCTCAGGGGTTTTACAGGTTCTATCAGATCAGCAAACTTGGTCCTTTTTTTTTTTTTAGATGATTTTTGGATTTTGTTCCACATTGTTCTCCCACTCTATCCAGGATCTCCTGCATAGACCCCCTCTCCAAGTGGCTGGCAACATACATTTTTATTCCTCTTGGTTATTTATCAAAGAGTGAAATTCCTGGGTCATACCTTTAACAATCTGGGGAACCACCAAACTGTTTTCCAGAATAGCTGCACCATTTTACATACCTATGAGCATTATACAAGTGTGCCACTTTCTCCACATCCTCACTAATACTTATTATCTGTCTTTTTAATGTAGTCATCCTAGTAAATGTGAAGTTGTATCTTATTATAATTTTTGTTTGCATTTTCTTAATGACTAATGATGTTAAGCAACTTTGCATTTGTTTATTGGCCATCCATGAATCTTTTTGGAAGAAGTGTCTTCAAATACTTTGCCCATTTTTAAATTGGGTTACTTATGTATTATTGAGTTGTAAGAGTTCTTTATATATCATAGGCACAAGTTCCTTTTCACTGTTTTGGTTGTACCTCTTGAAGTGCAAAAGCTGTATGTCCAATTTATCAGTTTTTCTTTTCATTTCTTGTGCCCAGTCAGTTACTTACTCCAGATCACAAAGATTTAGTCCTGTGTTTTCTTTTAAGTTTTATAATTTTAGTGTTTACCTTTAGGGCTGTGATCAGTTTTTGAGTATGGTGGGAGGTATGGGTCCCAATTCATCTTTCTCTGTGTAGATATCTAGTTGCATCAGCACCATTTGTTGAAAATACTTTTTTTTTTTTTCCTGTTGAATTTTCTTGGCACCTTGGTTGAAAATGAGTTGACCATTAGGGTACAGCCTTATTTTGGGGCTCTTAATTCTATTCAGTTAAGTGTGCTATTATGCCAGTACCACACTGATATATTACTGTATCTTCATAGATGTTTGCAATCGAGGATTGTTAAGTCTTCCAACTTTATTCTTCTTTTCAAGATGATTTTGGCTATTGTGAGTCCTTTGTATTTCCATGCCAACTTTAGTATCAGCTTGTTAATTTCTGCTCACAGGAGGAAACTGGGATTTTAATCTTTAGACCAATTTGGACAGCTACTGTCTTCTTAACAATATTTAGTCTTCCAATCCATGAACATGATGTATCTTTACATTTATCTAGGCCTTCTTTAATTTCTTTCAGCAATATTTTATACTTTCCAACATAGAAGTCTTGCATTATTTTATTAAAGTTATTCCTAAGTATTTGATTCTGCTTGATGCTATTGTGAATAGAATTGTCTTCTTAATTTCATTTATGGATTGCTCATTGCTAGTTTATAGAAATACAATTGGTTTTTGTACATTGGTCTTGTTTCTTGCAACATCGGTGAACTTGTTTATTAGCTCTGGTAGTCTTTTAGTGAATTCCTTATACAAGATTATGTTATGATTTATTTTAGGTAGCTGACTCATGCAGTTGTGGGTGTTGGCAAGTCCAGAATCTGTGGGTTCAGGCTGGAAACTGTTTTAAGAGTTCATGTTGCAGTCTTGAGCCTGAAATCTGTACAGCAGGCCAACAGTCTGAAAAGTTAGCAGAATTCCTATATTATAATCTTGAAGCAGAATTTCTTTTTCTTTTGGAAACCTCAGTTTTTGCTAATAAGGCCTTCAATTCGTTGAATGAGGCTTACTCAACATTATTGAGGGTAATCTCCTTTACTTCAAGTCAACTTATTGTAAATGTTAATCACATCTACAAAATACTTATAGCATAAACAAGCTTATTCTAAAATTTATATGGAAAGGCACAGATATTAGAATAGCTTAAACAATTTTTACAAAGAAGAATAAAGTTATAAGAATCATTCAATTATATATTAAGGTTTACTGTATAGTTATAAAGGAGCTCTCATGGTGCAGTGCCTAAGACATTTAACTGCTAACCAGAAGGCCAGCTGCTCCACAGAAGGAAATTGAGGCAATCTATTTCTGTTAAAGTAATTAAGCAAACTGGTTAAACAAACTGTGGTCAATCCATACTATGGAATACTACCCAGCAATGAAAAGAAATGAACTATTGAC